CTCCCTACCTCTCCTCAAGGTATATCATCTCACCCCAATCCTTCTTCTAGCACTTTCAGACTAGAGCCCACAAAGCCTAAGGTAGGGTAGGGCTAAAATACGGGAAAGGTGGACAGGAAAAGAAAGCTGCATTTCCTCATCTCCTCCTTCCAGCTGGGATGAGGCACAATCTACTAATGATTAGATGGGTCCAGAACCTTAATTATGGCAGGGTGACTGGGACTTTGCCCCAAGCTACCAAAATTTTGAAGAAAGGTGCTGATGACATTTTTAGTCCTTCAGCAACATAGGAACAAGCATGCTTAGATCCTGCCAAGAATAATTAGTTAAAATAGGAAGCTACCAGATGGCAGTTTTGCCCCACCCCTCAGACACGCCAGGTAAGCTCTTATCCAACCTGTCCCTGCTTCATTTGAAATGGCCTTACAGTGTCCATGGATCTCTGCCATGTTCTCCCCCTCCCCGCACCCCATCCCAGGAAACACTTTGTGCCAATTGCCCCCAAGTGCTAGAAATTGCTGGTTATGACTGTAAGGGTACCTTACCTTGAATAACCTTCCAGGTTGGAAGGATTTAAATTCAGTTTCCTGGGAGGGGAACTCTTCTCCTTTCTGGAGTGTTTCTCATATAGACATAGTTAGGGGGTCTAGCCATAACTGGGCTTCTTTTCACAGAACTGCCCACTCCTCTGAGTCCTTTGATTCTGACCATGGTGGTGGTGGTGGCGGCTTCAACCCTGAGCCTACTCTTGATCTGTGGAGGTCTGATAGTAGGTAAGGAGCCCCTACTGGATCAGCCATATAAGATTCCATCAGAGGCTGAGCCATGAGAAGGCAAAAGAGCCTTGGGGAGCCAAGCCCAGGTGGGCAGGGCCTTCAGTAGGAGGTAGAGTTCTTGGTGGAGGAGGGAAGAGCCTGGGAGATGGGTTTGGTAGTATATGTGCCATGTACAATCCCATGCCTGCCGTCTACAGCACACCAGCAGAAGTGGTGGGGCTTGTGGGGGACAAGGCTGCCAGGCACCGAGTTCTCTCTCAGCAAACTTCGCACGTCAGCCATCAGAACTGCCCCCAACCCCAACTACTGCCAGGTTGGACTTTGTCCACCCCTGCCCTTGCCCCTCCCACCAGGGCTTCTTGAGGTTCCCAGAGGCAATATTACTCTGCTCAGGTGAGACTCCTCAAAGCTCTTCTCCTAAGGCCTGTTCTACCTCACCCCACCCCACCCTCCTTCCCATCCCCCTTTCCTTCCTTCAAGCCCTCCACTGTTCTTGTTCCTCACCAGACAGAATTGCTATTTTCCAGGACTTGGGTTTTAAAGAGTGGGAAGGTTTCAGGGGGGCCACTAAGAGCTCAGCTACTCCAGGTCCACCCAGCTGGGTATGCAGTAGGTGCTCAACAAATGTCTGTATGAATAAATGAAATACAGGCTCTCGTTCACTCTATGCAATTGTCAGTCCTTTGAGACTCTTCCTAGATCCCTGGCCAAAATCCCTGATTTTGACTTGTCTTCCTACAGAGCACTGGGACATGGTGCCTTTGGTGAGGTGTATGAGGGGTTGGTGCTAGGCATTGCTGGTGGTCCCATACCACTTCAGGTGGCTGTCAAGGTGAGAAGTCTAATCTAGACTCAGTATGCTCAAGATGATCATAAAATCGTAGACTTAGAGTTGGAAGGAACGTTAGAAGCCTTCAAAGCCAACCTAATTATTTTATGCTTTAGGAAACTGAAGCCCAAGCTGACCCAGGGTCACACAGCTAGTGTTTGTTTGTCTAGTACTCTGTCCACTACACACTTTATTATATAAGGAAGGACTGAAACACGTGTTTATTAAGCACCTACTATGTGTCAGGCATTGTGCTAAGCACTTTACAAATATAGCATTTAATGATAACAATGCTGGAGGGAGGGAGGTGCCATATACGGGTACTAGGGTCTAGAAAGGGGGATTAGGGGGACTAGTCTCTCTCAGTCGATGTTGACCCTGTCTCTCCCCAAGATCATGGAGTGATGATGTCTCCTCTTTTGTCTTCTCCTTAGACCCTCCCTGAGCTCTGCTCCCAGCAGGATGAAATGGACTTCCTGATGGAAGCTCTCATCATCAGGTATGCTTTAGGGCTTGGGGGATAAACAGAGGGGGCATCCCTCACTCCATCTTTTCTAAGACCTACAAAGTTGCACGCTGGCACATATGGGTACATGTGTGCGCGCTAGTGCGCACATCTCTTTCTGTGACTATTTTTGTGTCTGGTTATATTGTGCTCGTTTGCACACTTGTGTGTGGGTTTGTGTGTGTGTGTGCCCTCAGTAAGTTCAGCCACCAGAACATTGTGCGGTGTGTCGGGCTTAGCCTCCGGGCTACACCTCGACTCATCCTGCTGGAGCTGATGGCTGGTGGGGACATGAAGACCTTCCTAAGGCACAGCCGGCCTCACCTGGTGAGCACCCCTCCCTCAAATACCTGTATCCATGAAATCTTCTGAGTCACCTCCTTACTACTCCCTTGCTCTCACCTAGATATGCCAAATTCTCCATCCAGCCCAAATAATCTGACTCATCTGGGGCTCCATCCTGAGTCCCCATCTCTCTGGCCTTTGGATCCTTAGATGGAGTGACCCTCCATCCTCCCTTGGTTCCCAGGGCCAGCCTTCCCCTCTGACCATGCAAGATCTACTTCGCCTTGCCTGTGATGTGGCCCAGGGCTGCCACTACCTGGAAGAAAATCACTTCATCCACAGGTTGGGGAGACTCCAGGGAGGGAATATTGGCTCAAGGGGACACAGTACCTTAGCCCCAGGCCCCATGGATCCTTCAAGTCTAACTGCATATATCACAGGTTGGGGAAGACAGATAAAGAGGAAGGAAATACCTTAGGAAGGAGGGACAAGAAGGCCAATAATGGGCAGGGAGGTTGGGGATATCTGTCAGGTACCTCCTTTCCTGGGAATTGAAGCAATGGCTCTACAGGGATATCGCAGCCCGGAACTGCCTTCTGACCTGCAGTGGGCCTGGCCGAGTAGCTAAGATTGGTGACTTCGGGATGGCTCGGGACATCTACCGGTGAGGGGAGTTGGATAATACCTAAAGGAGGGAAGGAGAACGTACTTATAAATGTTGGAATAGCAGGAACAGAGGGGATCACATGTCCTGCGGAGGATGTGTTGACACCAATTTCGTGCTTCCTTTTTATAGAGCAAGTTATTATCGAAAGGGAGGCCGTGCTATGCTACCTGTCAAGTGGATGCCCCCTGAGGCTTTCCTGGAGGGCATATTCACCTCCAAGACTGACTCCTGGTAACAATATCCTATCAGCCCAACCGTGGGAAGAGGCATTCTGGGCTGGGCTTTCCCTTTGCTTCAAAGGTGGACTCATTAAAATGCAGCTCTGGCTGCTGTCCGTCCATGCTGAACATGGCCTGGAGTGAGGGGTTTGGGGGAGCCATGTGATCCAATAGCTTGAGGAGGAAAGTCTGAAGGTGTAGCTATTGTGCCCAGATGGTGTCAGGCTGATTCCTGGCTATGGCACAGGTCTTTTGGGGTCCTGTTATGGGAGATCTTTTCACTGGGCTACATGCCTTACCCTGGTCGAACCAACCAGGAGGTGCTGGACTTTGTCACTGGAGGAGGCAGGATGGACGCCCCTCGGAGCTGCCCTGGTCCTGTGTGAGTAATAGGTGCTACCATCCAGTGGATGATGCCCAGAGAGGTGGGGGGGGGCAGGGCGAGAGCACTGCACCGGTGCAGTAATACCAAGATTCACTCCAGGTACTGGATCATGACCCAGTGCTGGCAACATCAACCTGACCACCGGCCCAACTTTGCTAGTATTCTGGAACGGCTCCAGTATTGTACCCAGGTGGGATGGCACAGGGAGGCTTCATACTGTTTATTATCTGGGGTCCTAGGATCATACACCTAGAGCTTGAAGGGGCCTTAGAAACCACGCAGTCCAACCCCCTCATACTACAGATAAGGAAACCAAGACTCAGGAAGGTCATGGGACTTGCTCATCACACGGGTGGGATTGAAACCCAGGTTTCCTGATTCTGGGGCCAATGAATGCTCTTTCCACCATACCACGATGCTTCTCTCCTGAGGAGGTCTTAGGTCATACATAATGGAAACTATGGAAAAAGAGAGGTCTGAGAGACCTCCTCAGATCCCTGAGGAATACTTATCCCCTCCCTCTGAACCAAATTTCTCCTTAACAATGAAATTTGGCACAACCATCCTCTCCCATTCCAGGACCCGGATGTGCTGACCACACCTCTGCCAGTGGACCTAGGGCCAGCACCAGAGGAAGAGGGAATCTCTGTGCTGGGGAATGGTCTCTCAAACCCCCAGCTAGCTAGTGGGGGCATGAACACTCTCCAGCCTCAGGAGCTACGGGTTGACAATCTTGAGACCTGGGGAGTGAGTTGCCCTGCCTCCAAGCGCCCTAAGCCTGGGGGCCTCCAGCTGCTGGACAAGAGGCAGAGTCTATGGAATCCCACATATGGGTCCTGGGCCTCCCCAGGTGCAGAGGGTGAAGACTCTGGCATTGAAGAGAGCAGCACTTCCTCCCCCAGCCCCTCCCCCACCTTTCCTAGCTACCCTGGTCATCCAAATCCCAATTCCCTCCTGCCCCTGACTCACCACCTCCCTGACATGTGATGATGGGTTATGCTCCTTATCGGGGTGGGAGCTGGGAGACAAAGGAGGAGTCTCTCAGGCTGACATTGTGGCACCTAGCCCATCATATGCCAGTATAGTCATCTCAGCTTGACCCCGCTGCAACTCTTGTTTCCTGAAGTTTGTGTCAGGCCTGGGACTCCAAACTGGGGGTTCCTTTACCTTTGCTGATTCTGCCCTCTGAACTTGTATCTATAGTGCACTGGAATAAAAAGCTAGGTTATTGTGGTGGAAGGGTCGGGTACAGCCAAATTATCAGGTAGGCTCCATTGCCCAGGCTGCTGCCCAAGTACATGGCTACAGATTGGACCAGGAAAGACAAGTCTGAGTGCACAGCTGGCTCTACAATTTCTGTCCCCATCTGGCTGCTTCAGGCTGACTTTAGACCTCACCCTCCTTTTCTTCCTTCCAAGGTTTCACCCTTGCTTCTGGGCTTGGACAGATAATACTGCTGGCTGGGAGACAAAGGGGCAATAGGATTATAGATTATGTTGGATGGAACCTCAGAGCTCCCTTCCTCAGTTTACAGATGAGGAAACTGAGGCCCAGAGATGTTAAGCAACTTGCTCAGGGTCACACAGCTAACAAGTGTCTGAGACAGGAATGGACCAGATGTCTCCACCACCATTAGTCTTTGTATTTCACAACACACTGGTGAGGTCAGGCCTTGATAATGGCCAAGGTTCCTTTCAAAGCCTAAATTGTTGGATTCTATAGGAGGGAAATGGGGCAAGGAGACACAGTACCCTGCATCAATGAGTTTTATTGGAGAGGGAAGGGAAGGAGAGAGGCACCCACCCCTCCTCCCTAGTGTTGAAAGGCTGGACCATACAGGTCAGTTATGAAATAAAACTCCCAAATCAGCTCCCTTCCTCCCCCCTCCCCATACCCAAAGGGCTTGGCAGCAGTCCCTCTCTCCCAGGGATGGGCAAGGGGAAGGAGGAAAAAAGAAGCTGTTGCTCCTTCCTCTCAATTAGTGTCATTCCTCTTTAGGAGGGCCGGAGCTCTGGCATATGTACACTCCTAGCCGTCAGTCAATCTGCAGGGCCCCCCCTCCCAGTGGAGGCCAGGAGTACTGCAGTCTCTGTCTTGGAATCCTTGGGATTGCAAGCCTGGATTCCATAAGTCCTGTGCATGCAAGACCAGCGGGCAGCAGCAGCCGGAAGGTGTATCCGATGGTGGCCCAAAGAACTCTGGGGTGGGGAAGGGATCAACCTCATCTCTCAGCCAAGCTCGCCAGGATGCTGATGAGATTGTCCAGCCCCAGTAGGTATCCATCCTCTCTGTTGCCTTCTTCCCAGGGCCGCCTGTGGTCCAGGGTCTGCCCATCAGGCAGCTGAGTGGTCTTGCCGAAGTCAATGAGCCACACACCTGTGCGACGGCTGTGGTCGTGCACGAAGAGAAGGGAGCTGCCGATTACCTGAAACGGAGTTTGCTCAGTGGCCACTAGGGTTCCAGACCTTGCTCCACAAAGTCTATGCACCCAACCCTGTCCCAGCCCACCCTACCCAGGCTGCTTCTCACCTCATGTCTCCGGAAGAACTCAGACACGCTTAGGGTGTCTCTGATCTGTTGCAGTCGGTTCAGATATTTCCTCTGGACAGGGGAAAGAAAGGGACAGGATTAAAAAGAGGGAAGAAAGGGGAGAGCAGAGGGTTCACTCCAGGTTATGTCCTGGGATTCCAGATTCTAAACATCCCCATTCCCACTCCCACCCCCACTCCCGGCTCTTACCAACACTTCGGCATCGTCTTCTACAAACTCGGCGAATACCCGAACTACCTGCTCCCGGCTTCGGGTCGTCTTGAAGTCGGTGCTGCAGGACCCATCGGCTTTCTAAAGGAAGTGGGAAGGGAAGAGGTGAATGGGCTCAGGCTGGGGAGAGTCTGGGGGCTGAGGGGACAAAAGATACCTCTGATGACTATTTAGAAGCATTGGCGCCTCTATTAGGGAATGCCTGGAGACGGGGGCGCAAGGCACTCACCTTGATGCCCTCGATGCGAAAGCCCAGCGTGGTGCTGGAGCTGATTCCCTCCCGCCACTGCATGTAGCGTGGCTTGGTAACAGCGCGCTGCGCGTGCTCTTCATCGGTCGGCGCGGAGGGGTCCACAGCCACCATCTTCTTGTACATATCCTTGCGAAGCTTGGGCCGCTCTCGCGCCTTGGTAAGCTCTTCTTCCAGGTAAGTCCTGGCGTAAAGGCGACGGGCGGGAGACCGTGGGGTGAGGGAAGGTGGGCAGGTCTAGGTCTGAGACTAAGCCCGGGCGCCAGACATGGCCCTCCTCCCTCAGCCCCTTCCCCTCCGTATGGGGCACCCAGCTACTCCGCGGGGCACTCACCTGACACCCATCTTGCAGTCAAGCACGCAGGGCCCGTCGAAGCCGGCCAGCAGGTCCTGAAGCTGCAGGTAGCTTTCGCCGTCGCGCTCCACCACGCCGTGGAACGTGGGCACGCAGCCTCGAAGCGCGTCGCCCATCAGACGCGCTAAGCAGCTGCGCTCGGGCTCTGAACAGCGCTTCAGGATCATCCCATTTGTTCCTGCAGCCTTGAAACTTCCTGAGGAGTGAGAAGGTCATCGATCAGTCCCCCGCCCCAGCCAGGAGGAGCCCCTGATGATTGTTACTTTCCCCATCCCCTCCTCCAGCACCCAGTTCGATGACAGAAGTTCTCCTTTCCCTGACCCACAGGCCATCCCAGGTGGAGGCCAGTGCTCTTCTATACTCAGCGCCCACGTCTGGCCCATTTAGGCTCCTTACCCGTGTGACCCGCCAGCTGCACCCAGGCGTAGCGCTTTTTGAAAGGGCTGATAACCGGCAGGTTCACCATGGTTCGGATCTTCTGCCAGGGATTTCTCTGAGGAAGAAAGACAAGGGGACAGGAGTAGGGTCTCATGAGCTCTACGTCCTGGGTGGGGCTCTCAGCCTCATATAATTAAATGCAATGCCCCACAGTCCTTCCCCTTGGGGTCGGCTTCCCTCTCCCTTCAGTCCACAAGTCAGAGAGCTCTCAAGCTAGGGGCGGGACACAGGGACAGAAGGTCTCACTCGCCCTACAAGCTTGGGCGGGGGGGGGGGGGGGGGGAGAAGGGTCGATGGGCGATTAGGAAGGAGGCAGTACCCCGGCACTATACCATGGGCACTGGGTCCCATTCTCATGCTATCTTCTCTTCCACTTTAGCACCCAGCTGAAGGCCTTGCCTCTTTCTTATCTGACAGCAGTCGCAGGCACTGGGGCTCTGCCACGTGTCTAGGGACCGTAGGGCAGCAACAGAGACCGAACTACCCAGCCTGCTATACTCAACCTGGATGGGATTACGATCAGAGCTGGGGCAGAAAATTAAGGAGAGGGGACGTTTGAGGACAGACACTCCCGGTGCCCAGTAGTCCCACCAGTTTCACCTGTCCTTCCCTCCCCCCCCACCCCTGCCCCCTCCATTCACCCCGCCCCAGATCTTACCACCCTAGTTATCTGTGTCCTTCTCCATCCCCACCCCACCCCACCTCTACCCTACCCCACCCACCCCACCTCTACCCTACCCCACCCCACCCCACCCCACCTCACCCCACCTCTACCCTACCCCACCTCTACATCTTCTCTCTCCATAAAAACGTAGTGTCCCGGTTCGTTTAGGGCATTTATAAAGTGATCAGCTTGCTAACTTCCCAGCTCGGGTGTTAACCATTTAATCCAATCAGCTAATTAATCAATCAACAAACATTAATAAAACTCCTACAACGTCAGGTACAGTGCTAGGCGCTAAGAATTGAAAGACAAAGAATAGTTCCTTCCAGGAGCTTATAGGGGGTGGGCGGGGGCAACAAGAAGTAAAGACACACAAGTAAATACTATACATATATAGATATGCAAACATACACATGTGGCAGACCTGTGATTTCATCGGTGTAGGAAGAATTTCCTATATGGATACAGACTGGCCTCATCTCTCAATTTTAGTCTTAGAAAGTTGCCTGAGCACTGATAATGACTAATAGCATTTATATAGAGCATAAAATTTGCATATACATACATACATATGAATAGACAATCACAGATTTTGAATAGCCCAGGGTCACACAGTTGTGTGCGTGCGTGTGCGTGTGTGTGTGTGTGTGTGTGTGTGTGTGTGTGTGTGTGTGTGTGTGTGTGTGTGTGTGTAGTAACTGAGTGGACACTAGTAATTGGGAGGATTAGGAAAGTCTTCATGCAGGTAGTGTTTGAGCTAATCTTTAAAGGAAGCTAGGATTCTGAGGAGTAGAGAGGAGGAAGGGGTGCGTTCCTGACCCAGGATACAGATAGTGCAGAAACAGGGGAAAGAGAGATGACATGTCATTTATAAGCAATAGTAAGTAGGTCAGGTCTAACTCGAAAAGTAGAGAGCGTGAAGGTTAATGGTGTGTTCCCATGTTCCACCTTTTAAAAGAGGATCTCTGAGGATGGGGCAGTTCCTTAACCCAGGGATTCTTAGGCTTTTTAAGAGGGAGACCTCCCTTTCATGTCCTCAGAGCAGTGAACCTAGGGGCAGGAAAATGAGGTATGAGTCCTATGCTTTATCAGCCGGGTATGGGAAGGAGTGCTAGATCAGCAGCCCAGAGAGACCAGAATTTGAATTGGACTCCGTGCATTAGCTGTATGAATTTGGTTTCCTTATCTGTGAAATGAAGATAATAATACCACTATCTTACATGACTATCTTAGTGGTCAGATCCCTCCTCCCAACTTACCCAATCTTGACATGATTATGTCAAGTGCTTTATAAACCTTAAAACAATTACCACATACCTCTAGTAACTATATTATAGGCATCTAGATGGCTCAGTGGATAGAGCTCTGGGCCTAGAGTCAGGAAGACCCCAGTTTAAATTCGGCCTCAGACACTTGATACCTGTGTGACTCTGGGCAAGTCACTTAACCTTTGACTTAGTTGACTGCAAAGGAGGTCAAGGAGAGTTGGACATCATTGAACTATCTGAACAAGAAACGATCTTACATGACTGTTGAAAAGATCAGATGAGATGATTATGCCAAGTGCTTTTTTTAAAAGTGCTTTATAAACCTTAAAATATCATTTATTATCTGGAATCAGAAGACCTGTGTTCTGATCCCTACTCTGCCATTTGCTACCTGTGTGATCATGGGTAAGTCACTTAAAAGCCTCTGAGCCTCTGTTTCCTTATCTGTAAAATAATCGAGTTGCACTAGAGATGGGATTAAGGTCCCATACAGTTTTAAATCCTATGATTATATGTCAGTTTTGGGAGGTGGGAAGTAGAACCTGGGTTGAGGTGTTTAGGGGAGGAGGTTCTGTCTTCTCCCTGTGGTAATCCTAGCAAATAAGCTGATCCCATGGCATCAGCAATCAGACGAGACAGAGATCTATCAAATAATGCTCTGAGATCAAAGGGAGATGGACGGACAATCTACTGACTAGAGATCACTGCCTTATCTAAAGAAATGTATTTCCTTTTTTAAAAAAAAAAGTAAATGTATTGTTTTTAACATTTATTTAAAAATTATTTTTGCATCCCAAATTCTCTCCCTTCCTCCCCTGCCCATTGAGAAGCAATATGATAGCAATTATACATACGAAATCATGCAAAACATATAGGAATGTGTTTCTAATGAGGAGAGTATTGAATAGCTACTCCAGGGGCTGGTGTGGGGTGAAAGGAGCAGTTTCAAAAGGCTTTGGGGCAGGGAGGTCTCTATCCCCCAGTCCCTGGAGGCTAGCCCAGAGAGTTAGCAACCTAGCCACTCCTCACAGTCTAAAACTAAGGCATTGAGGATTTCACCTCCGTAAACCCTCTCCGACACAGCCCCTTCTCTCTTATACTGCTCCCACCCTGGCTCAGGCCCTCATTTTCTCAAGCCTGGGCTACTGAAAGAACCTGCTGATTGGTTTGTGTGCTACAAAGCTCTCCCCATTCCAGTTCAACCTTTCTCCATTTAGCCACCAGAGACTGTCCTAAAGCACAAGTCCTCCCAGGTCACAACCCCCAGCCCCTGCTCAATATACTCCAATGACTCTATCATCCTCAGGATCAAATATTTTTTTTTTTTAAAATCCTTTGGCATTCAAAGCTTTTCATAACCTAACCCACTCCCTTACATTTCCTTACTTCTTACGCCTTATACAAATCCCTACCACCCCACCCCATGTACTTTTTGGTTCAGTGACACTGCCCTTCTAGCTGCCCTTACACAAGACCCTGGGCAATTTCACTGGCAGAGCCTCACACCTGAATAGCCGCCTCCCTCTTCTTCTCTGCCTCTAGGATTTCCTGGCGTCCTTCAAGTCCCAGCTAAAATCCCAGCTTCTATAGGAAGCTTTTCTCAATTATTCAATTCTGATGCTTAATTCTCTATTGATTATTTCCTATTTATTTTATATATAGCTTGTCTGTATGTTGTCTTCCCCATTAGATTGTGGGCTCCTCAAAGGCAGGGACTGTCTTGTCATTCTTTGTATCCCCAGTGCTTAGCACTGTGCCTGGCATGTAGAAGGCACTTAATAAATGCTTACTGACTGGGTAACTCATGGGGGGAGGGATATGACCACTAAAGTGTGGTGAAAAAACAAGTCCTTGTCCTTTTGAGGGGCTCTCCTCAACCTCCCTGGGATGATAAGTGATGCCTTCTGAGGCTGGGAAATACAGAGATGGCACTTCAATTTGCAGTACTACAAAGCATGACATAACATTAAGAACATATAGAAGTCAGTGGGAATCATGGTGAGTAGCTTTAAGTTCAGAGGAGCTGAGTTGCAATCCTTACTCAGCTCACTTGCTCCATGTGGAACCCTGGGCAGGTTTCTTATCCTTTCTAGGCCTCAGAGGTTCCTCATCTGTAAAATGAGGGGGATGGGCTACATTACTTCTTAAAGTCTTTCTTATCCCTGAATTTATGATCCTAAGAATTAGCTTCTACTCCTCATTCTTTTAATTTACTAGTCTGTGACCTTGGGCACAAGTAACTTAATGTCTCAGAGACTACTTTGATTTCCTCACCTGCAAAATGGGGTTAATAACACACCTGCCTCACCTATCTTACATGCTTAGGGTGGGGATCAAAAGAAATACCGCAAGAAAAAGCCCAGTTAGGTTAACTTCATTGCCATCAGATAAAAATGAACCCCTTCTAAGTGTTCCCTCAATTATGTGGGTCAGGTATTGCACTTTTGCCTGGAGAGAATTTTCAGACATAGAAGGAGGTGACTGCAAGTCCGAACTTCCTCCCCACCCTCAGCAAAATGGATGAAGTTTGTCTCAGTCCTGTCCTACCTCTCAGGATATTGTCCCCTTTGCAGCCTCTAAGTGTTCAGGTTCTTCCCCAATGATTTTATTGGCCAACCAGGCCTCCACCAGGGCCAGCCCTTCCCCCTCTCCTTCCCCACCCCACCCCCCACTCTAAAATTACCTGCCTTTCCACTGCACCATCAAATCAAAACCTCCATTCCCACAGGTAAGGAGAAAATAATTTGCCTAATCAGATCAAGTAATTCACATTACACAGACCTAACCCTCCCTTGAGGGTATTTGCATTTGAAAAAAGGAGCTTGTGGACTATCAAGCTATATCTCTCAATTGGGAAAAGTATGGAGACTGAGGGTAGCCTATAGGCTAAGAAAGTCAGTAGAGGAGTCTGGAAGACCTGAATTTTATAGTCCAGCCAAGATCCAAAAAGGTGATGTCACCTTGGGCAAGTCACTTAACCTTTTAATGCCCCAGGACACTTTCTGCATTTATCGGAGGAAGCTTCCATCCTAAAAAAAAAGGGGGGGTGGGGAAGGGGCAACAGGGGCATTGGCAGCCATGTGGTGCAGTGGATAGAGTACCAGCCCTGAAGTAAGGAAGACCTGAGTCTAAATTCAGCCTCAGACACTTACTAGCTATGTGACCCTGGACAAGTCACTTAAGCCAAATTGCCTCCCCCAGAAAAGGGGGGGGGGAGAATATGGGAGATATTTTTGAATTTGGAAAGCCCCCTGCCTCTTCACAAGCTCTGTGCTCCCCCAACCCAGGACAGAACAGAAGCATACAGGCACTTCTAAGAATGTAAAGTATCCTCATGAGGCTGATTTCTACCCCATAAGCAAGTAGGGATGGAAGGAGAGGTTCAAACAGGAGACTGCATGGGAAAATGGAATAATCATAAGATTGAAAGTAGAGGACTTGGGTTCAAGTTGCTCTGCCATTTGTCGATGATGTGACCTTGGGCAAGTCACTTACTCTAAATTTCCCATCTATAAAAGAAGGGGATTAGAGGAGATGATCTTCAATCTCCCTTCACGCTCTTGATCCTTGATCTATTACTCTGATTTCATAGAAGTCCCAGTCCCTAGTTCCTCAACACAGCCTCCAGACAAAGTCACAAAGTTTGGGAAAAGACCCCAAAGTGATCAAGTCCCAATTCCCCTCTCGGAAAGACCATCCCCTCTTCTAAGTTAGAAGCTGGCTTTGCACCCAAGATTCTAGCTTTTACGCTCAGACCAGATCGTATTGAAAGGTCAGAGATGCCCAGGTTCCTGACCACTTGTCTTCCAGGATCGGGGGCCTTAGGTATAGGTAGGGGTATACTCCTTGGCTGGCACATATATGCAAAGAAGCAAATCTACACCCCTGTTTCTGTGCAAGCCTTCGCCTTTGCCCGTCTGCTCCCCGCCCTCCTGAAAGTAGTTTCCTGGCACAACCCAAGTTGGGACAAGGAAGGGGCGGGGGACCCGAGATGACTGTCGTTGGTAACCCCTGCCTGAATCACAGTCCAGTGGACTGGCCAGAAGCCAGCTCCAGTCTGGACCAGGCTGAGCAGGTACAGCTGTTCTGGGAGCCTGACCAAGATTGGGCTAGAGTCAACAGGGGAACCCGTGCCCTTCTGGTGTTGGGGAAGCCGGGTCGAACCTGGGGGCCCCGCCTCCAAGCGCATCCGGCCCCTTCCCCCTGGCAGGTGCATCCTCCCCGGGCGCCGCTTCCTGCCTGTGGCCAGGGTGATGTTGAGTCGAACTCAGTGTCGATGGGTCCCAGGGTAAAGCATGGTGTAAGAGAAGACAGAAGGGATCCTCACAGTCTCGAGTCAGGCCAGGGGTAGGAGAAAGGCCTCGAAACTCCTGGGCGGGGAGGCAAAGTCCGCTTGTGTCCCTCCCCCGTCCCCCAGGCAGCTTCGGTCAACAGTCCCCAGCTCGCTTATCTCCCGCCGCCGCTGTTTGCCTTCGGGGAGGCCCACTGCAAGGCTGGGGGATGGTAAGAGATTGGGGAGAGCAGCCCTGGGTTCCCAAGGCCCGGGACCATAATAGCCTTTCTGTGCCTCACCTAGTCCGTACTTAACCCGGGACCGGGAGAGGCCCGAGCCAAGGGCAATCCCTTCACCACCAAGAGCCCAGGTCTCTTGCTCCCTCTTGATCCAGGCCTCCCCAGTATCGTATCGAGTCCAGGAAGGAAGGGAGGCAGGAGACGAGGGAGGGAGAGCAGCGAGTGGCTGCCCCCGCGAGACCCTCCTCACACCTCGAGCACCCACCGGCTGCGCCCCCGCCTGCCTCTCAGCTGTCGGGTTTGAGTGGCACAGCGGCCGCCCCCGAACTGCTGCTGCTACAGCTCTTCGAGTAGGGGGGATGGGAATAGAAAGGGTGATGAGTCGAGACTAAGGCCTAGGAGGGAAGGCGACCTAAGGAGTCCCATCGCCCCAATTCCCGGGTCGTCCACCCACACACATTTCTTCTGCGGTCTCCTAGTTTCCTTTTCGGACTAAGCAGCATGAGGCCTTCCTAGGTTTTTGGCCCTACCTCAGTCCCTAGAGCAACCTGTCTTGTGCTCACACCTTGGGAAAGGGAACGTGTGTGTGTGTTCACGCGCGCGCGCACGCGCGAGCGTCCCTCTAAGAAGACTTTTATTCCTTTTTTTGTCATTAACCCCCTCAAAATGCCCAGGAGACAGATATTTTTAGCTCTAGATGGTGGGGAATTGAGTCACGGAGAGATTACGTGACTTGCCCAACAACGTACACCAAGTTTGCCGCAAAGTCAGGAACCTCTCCATGGATAGGTCCGGCAGTCCTCTGCCACTGCACCCCACTATTCCTACCCCTGTCCTATCCCTCGGCCCCGCTCGTGTACTCCCGCTTCCAAGCGGCCAGAGAAGGTGGCCCTCCATTCTCAGGGTAGACCAGGAGCCACCTGGTCCAGAAAAGCCAGAAAGACCAGGTCCTGAGAAAAGGTTCAAAGGTGCTGCTTTTGAACTGAAAGATCCTAACTTCTCCCTCCTCCCTGGTTTAAGTGTATGCCCCTGGCTTCCCTCCTCCTCTTTTCTCCCCCCACCCCAACCCCACACTCTACTCCCCGGGGCTCTTATGTAAGCTCAAAGATGGAACAGCTCTCTCATTCTGGCCTCAGTCATGAAACGTGGGCGCCTATTTTAAGTATCTTACGGTGCTTTGGTCAGAGAGAGAAAGGGACAGAAGACCTAGGTATGGGGAAGGGTCAAATGTGTCTCAAGCAGTAGCAGGGAAAGAGCTCTTTGATTCCAGAGTTTTCCCATTTCCTATAGCCTCCAGCCAAAGAGAAGCAAGGGAGAGTTGCTTCGCCTCAACTTACCTCCTTACAGAATGACCATCCCACCCCATTCCCTCCCCTCCATCGGGACAGGGTTTTGAAACACAGGTAGACTCTCGCAAGTAGAGTCCCAAGGTCTGGACTGAGGGGAAAGGGGGGGGGGGTGTCACCTTCCCTCTGGGCAGATTCTAAGCCCTCCCTCAACCCAAATGGTCTCCTGTTCCCACGTCAGGGAGTAAGCTGCCTGCCGGGAGCCCAGAGCAGACGGCGGCGGCTCTGAGAGCAGGAGCCAGGACAGCCACTCCACACCCACTCGGGAGAAAGAAACCGTAGCAACTGCGGAGGATGGGAAATACGACGTCCTGGGGTGGGGGAGGTAGCACCCTCCATTCCAAGAGCTCCTGAACCCTTCGCAAGATTAGGACAAGTAAGCCTCTCCAGTACCTGGGACTCCTCCCTCTGAGAACTAGAACTGGTGGAGTGTTATGACACGCTTCTCCCATTCAATTTAATGTAATAAACATTTATTAAACGCCTACTGTGTGCAAGGCCCTAGGTTAGGCGCTGAGGATGTAGCTCCAAATTCAAGTTCTTCTTTCCCAGAGCTTACAGGCACATTAGGGGGAATCAGTCTTGGGGCAAAGGTTGCTGACCACCTACTTCATTCTCCAGATACTCCGTCCCGGAGTTCAGGCGCTGTCAGGATGGCCCATCCCTTGAAGAAGTTTCTGAGACATAATGTCACTTTACCCATTTCCAGGGGCTCTGGGGTCCTCCCTCAAAACCTAGAGGGACTAAGTCCGCCCAGGCTGGCCCGCCCACTCCCGAGTGGGGGAACTCATCTCTAATTTTCCCCTACTTCTACCAACAGGCGTTCTAGGGTGTATGGGCAGCAGACTGCACCTGGAGTGGGATAGGGACCAAGGCGTAGGGGCGCTGAAGGCACCTTCTAATACAGCCCAGACCCCAGGTTTAGGGTGCCCCTGGGGCTTGGCTTCCTCGTCTCCCCTCCCATACTCCCAAGAGCTTTCCCTGCCAGTCACCTACCAAGGAGGTGATGAGTCCCGAGGGAACAGCTCCCAGTGCTGTCGCCTCTTCTAGCCCTACCCCGCCCCCAAGGTCGACCCTGCCCCGCCCCGGTTCCTGTCGCCGCTTCTCCCCCACCTCCCCGTACCTGGACCACTTCTTCGCTCTGCTCCAGCTGCACGTTGCCGCGGCTCCGGCTCTCGCTGTCGCTCAGCAGATCGTCCTCGGAGTCCTCGGGCAGCGACGAGGAGCCGGTGGAGGAGACCGACGAGGTGGAGAGGCGGCGGGGCTGCTGCAGGTGCGTGGAGCCCGCGGTCTTGAGCCAGCCTCCCTCTGGCTCCGGCGGCCCGGGGCTCGACAGAGCCCCATCCGGCTCCTCTGCGGTCACGGTCAGCTGCGGGATCACCACCGGGGCCGGGGCCCGGGCCGGGGTCGGGATCGGGGCCGGGGCCGGGGCCGGATGCGACAGCCCGTTAGGGACCCGTCCTCCGCGCCGCTTACCCCGGGGAGCCCGAGGGCCCCCGGCTGCTGCAGCCGCCGCGGCCGCGGCACACCGAGCCTCGAAGAGCAGGCGCAGCTCCCCGACGCTCCGCCTCGGGGCCCGAGCTAGCGCTGGGCTGCCATGCCCGGGGTCCCCCGGCTGCGCCATGCCCGTCGGGCCACCGGGGAGTGTCATGTCCCGGGCTGAGCAGCAGAAGGCGAGCCCACCAGCCCGCGGCGCCGCGGGGACTGGGGACTCTCGGCGCCCACAGCTCCGGTCGCCCAGGGGGGCGGGGCTGCGTGGGGGCGGAGCTACCCCGCACGATCCCCACCCCCTGCCTTCTCCTTTCATTTTCAGAGAAACCCTCGGGCGGGGGGGGGGGGGGCTCTCCGGGGGGGGGGGGGGGAGGGCGGGCAGAAATTAGGGCCCCAGCTCCGCCCCGACTCTGGGAAACCCCGCGGGGGACGGGCCCAGGAGGAGACGCGAAACCTGGGGCCCAGCCCCCAGTGGCGTTCGTGGGGAAGAGGCCCACTTCCCAGAGACTCAGTCTCCGCCTCCAGGCGTTTGGCTGAGGATATCTGGAGGCTTGCCCAGTCCCTAGCACCGCGTTCCAAGGCTTTGAGGTTGGGAGCGATTCGGGCGGGGGAGGGTCTGGGGACTTACTCCTGCACAGACCCTCAGCTCAAGGCCACGTGCCTTTACCTCTGTACCCGAGGAGAGGCGGGGCGGGCCGGAGGAGGAGGAGCCCAGACCTTCCTCGGGCCACCTATTCCTTCACCCGCCTTCTCTCTTGCATTCCTTGGCTATTCCTCGCTCAGATCGTTTCCCACTCCTCACTGTCTCCAGTGCTTTTCCAGGCTCTGAGACAGCCTCGCCGCTCTGCCTTTTCTGCCCAAGGTTCTCTGCCACCCGACTCTCTTAAAGAGTTCCCACCCTGTGGGCGTGGGCAGGAAAGCAAAGGACTCTGCCCTGGAGAAGGAGCTGGGCTACCTAAGGCAAGGTCTGTTTTTCAGCTAGGTTTCTCCTCCCTTTGGCATAGAACAAGGTCAGGGGGAGGAAACCTTACCTCCCCAGGTACCAAGAGCGTCACCGTGGCCTGGGAGCACAGGCCCATGCTTGTGGAGACCCTGGCAAGCTTGTAGAGGACAGATAAGCAGTCCCACTGATTGATCCTTAAATCCAAAACCCTTCAATATAGATATAGTACTTGCCCCAGGAACCCAGGGCTGGGAGTTTAAACACCATAGTCTTGTCCCAGATCTCCCATTAACTAATTGTGTCACCCGAGGTAAGTCACTTAACGGAGTTTCCTAATCTAAAATAAATTATAATAAAAAAATACAGCATCTACTTCACAGAGATGTGAGATAAAATAAGATAAAATATGAAAGCTCTTTTAAAAGAGTCTTGCAAATGTTAAGAGATGCTTGGCATAGTAGATAGAGGGAGCTACGCCAGGCCTCAAAAAGACCAGGGTTCACATCACGCCGCTGATACTTCGTGGGTGACACTGGGTAAGGCTCTGGGAGCCTCCTTTTCCTAACCTATAAAATGAAGATCACTCACCTATCTCACAGAATTGTTATGAGGATCAATGGAGATAATAAACGTAAACCAATTTGCAAAGTATAACACTATAAATGTGAGCTGTTATTGTTACATGAAATATAATAAGTCATGGAATATGAGTCCTGGAAGGGACCTTAGAGAATCTAACTTTACAGATGGAGAAACTGAGGTTGTGACCTCTCTGGGTCTCAGTGTCTTTATCTCTAAAATAACAACAATAACAACAACTTAAACTTACAGAGAGCTTTACTATTGATAAATCACTTTCTGTGTGAGGTAAGTACAAGTATCATCCATTTTATAGATAAGAATCTGAGGCAAGTTAAGTTACTTGCACAGGGCCACACAACTGGAATGAAAGGGGTTGTGACTTTGAAAGTGTTCTGTATCTTTTCTTGTGTATATTACAACCAAAGTGGGCTGATTCTAATAAGGTGAAATTCAATATAGATCTAAATAAAGACAGTGGTCAAGTCCCTTAACCTCTCAGAGTTCAAGGAAATTCCCCCTTGCAGAGAAGGTGCCAAACTTCATTGGTTATAGAGGGACTTTCCTCACCAGGCAGTTCCCAATACCTATGAAATCTCAGATCCAGGAACTAACCCTAACTCCATAATACATCTAAATTATAGGTTCCCTTAGGGCAAAGACTACATTTTTTACCTTATATCCCCCCCCCACACACACACACCCTTTCCCCAGTAGTCAACGTGTAAAGATTAACTGGCTGTGTAAGTGAACAAAACTAAAAGAAATAAAAGGGACACAGCCTTTGCATTAGAGAAAGAGGCCTGATAGACACTGATAAAGATAAAAAGAGGAAAGTTTTCTCATTTTATCAGCTTTATAGGCACAGCATAGAACTATAGTGAACAGTGTAGTCTCAGAGTAAGAAGAAGGAGATAGGTAGGAAGAAAAGAAAGAAATGGAAATTGATAGGAAGAGAAAGCAAAGGAAATATTGAGGGGGGAGAAGAAGGATGAAAAGGAGGAAATGAAGAGGAAGAAAGCTTCCAGGACACGAAGCCTCAGGCTCTGCTTCCTTTCTACTCCTTGGCACTCCTTTCTCCAGCTAATCTTGTGTGTGTGTGTGTGTGTGAAAACAATTTTAAAAAATTTTTTTTAACTTTTGTTTTTAAAACTTTGGGTTCCAAATTTCCTCCCTTCCTCCCTCCCTCATTGAGAAGGCAAGCGACTGGATACAGGTTGTATGTGTGCAGTGATGTAAAACACTTCCATAGTAGTCATGTTGTGAAAAACTAAAATATATTTCCCTTAATCTTATCCTACCCCCATTTATTCTGTTCTCTCTTTTGATCCTGTCCCTCTTTAGAAGAGTTTGCTTCTCATTACCCTCTCCCCTAATCTGCCCTCCCCTCTATCAACCCCCAGATCTCTTGTCCCCTTCCCCCCTTATTTTCCTGTAGGATAAGATAGATTTCCCTACCCCATTGTGTATGTTATTCCCTCCTTAAGCCAAATCCTATGAGAATAAGATTCACTCATTCCCTCTCACCTTCCCCCTTTTCGCCTCCACTGTAAAAGCCTTTTCTTGTCTGTTTTATGTGAGATAATTTAACCCATTCTACCTCTCCCTTTCTCCTTCTCTCCACATAATCCTGTCTTACCCCTTAATTTTATTCTCTCTCTGAATAATCTTGTAGGCTTTCTACAAGACTTAACATTGGATTTCTTCTCCCCTTCCTTCACATCCTCTTCTTCGGCTTCATCTATCCACTCTCAGGACTTCAACTATTCCCTCTACGCAAATGATCACATATATGTCTTCATCTGAGACCTCTCTTCCAAGCTCTATATCTAGAGTTCTTCACTTTTTGGCATATGATGGATGGACCCTTTTGGCAGTCTAGTGAAGTCATATAAAGGAAATGCAAAATTTCATTTAGAGATTGGTGAAGATAAAGATGCAGTTTTTATCCCATCCAAGTTCATGGACCCCTTGAAATCTAACCATAGACCACTTTGGGGAATAAGAACTCCAGCTCAAGATTCACACCTCCAAAGGGCAGCTAGATGATGCAGTGGATAGAGCTCTGGGCTTGGAGTCAGGAGGACCTGAGTTCAAATTCAGCCTTAGACATTTGACATAACACTTATTAGCTGTGACCCTGGGCAAATCACTTAACCCCAATTGCCTCACAAAAAAAAAAAAAAAAGATTCACACCTCCAGTTGCTGTAAAAATACTAACCTATATGCTTGTTGTTATCAAGTCATTTTTTAGTTGTGTCTGACCCTTCATGACCCCATCTGGGTTTTCTCTGGAGTGGTTTGCCATTTCTTTCTCCAGTCATTTTGCAGATGAGGAAAACTAAAGCAAACAGGGTCAAGTGTATGTTTAGCTCAAGCTAAAAAAATCTAAAACTGAATTAACATTTCCACCTGAAAACTGACTGCCCTGTCTCTATCTTTGCTTGCAGCCTTAGGATCATCTCTGCCTTCTCCTCTTCACTCATCCCATGATATAGGTCATACTTCAGGACCTTATCACTTATTACATTCAACTATTGCAGTAGCCTCCTAACTGATATTCAGTCTTTCCCCTCCATCCCATCTTATCATCCATTACTAGGATGATTTATTTAATGCTCTAGTATGAATGCATTTGGCCCACTGCTCAGAAACTCTTGATAACTCCTCAGTTGACTTACAGAATAAGGTCCAAATTCCTTAACTTGGCATTCAAGGTCCTTGTAAAAGTTTGTTGAATGATTGAATCTGTGATTCTTAGGATAGGGGATGAGAGGCTGCAAGTGTGAATGGGATATGTATCACTCTCTAGGTCCTTTCTGAAGTTTATTTCTCTTGTAGATGGGGGGATAGGTAGGGAGGATATGGAGGGAGGAAAGAAGAAAGGAAAGAAACAAGCATTTTTAAATTTTAATTGCCTACTATGTTTCAGGTACTATGCTAAGCACTTTACAAGCATTATCTCATTTGATCTTCACAACAGCTTGTGAAGTAGTTGCTATTATTATCCCCATTTTACAGATGAGGAAACTGAGGCAGACAGAGGTTAAGTGACTTGCCCAGGATCAGAATTAGTAAGTGTCTGGGACTGGATTCGAATTCAGGTCCTTCTGACTCCAGGCCCAATGCTGTATTGATTTTGCCACCTAGCCCCCCTAAGTTTTGCGGGTGAGGGAGAGGGGGCAAAGCATGCACTTTTGTGGGCAACTGAAAAGCTGAATATCTCCTCTAAAGCCACCAGAGGGCAGGCATAGCCCAAATACGCTGGACTCCAGACCCCTGCCAGGCCTCATAGTTACTTTCAGCTATTCCCCAGCCTTGGATAATCTTTACAAGCTGAGTTAGGAGTGCGATTCTAGTTGGAGGTTGGAAAGGAGTATAACTGATTATCCAGAAGCAAGGCTTTGTGAGGGAGAGAAGGAAGGATGCAAACTAACCCAGGAGAAGGCTGAAGGAAACCTGTAAATGGAGGACTTTTGAAACAGAAGTAAACTTTGCCTTGCTTGTGTGGTGCCAGACACTGACCTATTTCCATCACTGATGCAGGATGTCCCCTGTGTTTGGAATGTTTTAATCCATTTATCCAAGGCAGCTGTGTTTTCTGGAAAAAGTTCAGAGAGTTGCCTGGATCAGACCACTCAAGACCCTTCTAAATGCTAAAAGCAGTAGTGCTATGGTGCTATTACATTTGTAGACCCTTAGTGATATTTCTATAGCCTGGCTGGTAGTCCCTGCCCCATTCCCCTTCAGTCCAAGTTCAAGGCCTAAACATGTATATGTATGTACATGTGTATGTGTCTGTATATATAGATAACTATAATTTGATATCATTGGTTTCCTTTGTAATTCTACATATTTCATTTTATGCATGTAAAAACATTCTGAGGAGGAGGTCCATAGGCTTTGCTTAACTGCCAAAACGGTCCATGACACACACACACACACACACACACACAAAAGATGAGGAAGAATCCCTGCTTTAGCCCCAGAGTGTGTCCTCTCTCTGGCTTCAGAGGTAAGGATGTCTCTCAGGCTCTGACATGGAAACCCATTTTTCTTTTCTCTGGAATACTTTAACGTTTCCAATCCCAAACAGAATCATGGATTTTCCAGGGACCTCCTTTATATAGAATGGGAGGTGGGCATAGAATGAGGGACAAGATAGCAGGATGCCTTGATTAGAGGAGATCCATCTCTCTGAAAGTTATGTTCCTGAAGGCCTTAAGTCACTCTCACCTACCATGAATAAAATGTGTCACCACTCCTGTGGATGCAGAACAAGAACATTTATTCTTATAAAACAGTTTAAAAAAAAAAGATTTCCTAACTCTCTCAGGTGCAAGTTTCCCAGAAGCCTAAAGGAGTTGGGATCTGGAAAGAACCTTTAGCAAAATCAGCAATCCTAGCAGAAGTTCAGGTGAGAAGGTACCAAAGGAACAGATCGTTCAGATTTAATTGGTAACCCAAAAGCAAGGATTTGGGAAGGACGGGAGGAAGGAAGGAAAAAGGGTAGGAGGGAGGGAGGGAGAGAAGGAAGGAAGGAGGGAAGAAAGGAAGGAAGAAGGGAGGGAAGGAAGAAGGGAGGAAAGGAAGAAAGAAAGGAGGGAGGGAGGAAGGGAAGGAAGGAAGCAAAGAAGGAAGGAAGGAAGCAAGGAAGCAAGGAGCCAACCCAGGAAGAAAGCTGACAGAAACCCTTTGCTCCTCCCAGAGGGCATTCCTGTAATAGGAGGTAAATAAACTTTCCCCTGCGTATGTATAACACAGCTATAACTTGGGCTTGAGAAAGGTGTGTGTGGTTTGACATCTAGTGCCTGGGTGTCTGTGGCTGTAAAACTCCTCCTCGCTATCCCCACCCATAGTTGATTTACAAACCACTGCAATGTGACTGAGTTACTCACTGACTGAGTCACAGAGAAGCAATTGCCCTATATGAGGGAGCAACTCCAGCCCCTTGAGGTTTAGAAACCCAGTTGGGATTCCACTTCTTTACCCTCAGATGGGTTTTATGTTCCAGCCACCCTGGCCTCCTCGTGGCACCCTCATTCATTACACTCCATACCCCACAGGAAGAATGCCCTTCCCCGCGCCCCATCTTCCTTTTTGTTTCTTTGAATCCCTAACTTCCTTCAAGGATCGTTAAGGTTCGAATTCTGCCTCCTATAAAGGTCTTTCCAGATCCACCCCCCACCCCGAGCTTTTAGTGTTTTGATCCAACGAAATTTGCTTTTTCTTTATTTCTTATTTATCTTATATTTACTTCTCCTTGTATCTTTGTTTTACACCCAGGTGCACGTAAGCTTCTTGAGGGCAGACTGTTCGGTTTTATTTTATCTCTGTCCTCCTCCTAACTCTTAGGAACTTAACGAAGTCAGCCTCCAGCTTCCATCCAGGGCACGATAGTAGTCAGGGGTTCTGTATATGATACCCAAAGAGCGTAAAGTCGAGGAAGTACAGGTTGTAGAGGCCGCTCAGCTGTTCGGGGCTGAGCTGACCAAGGTAGTGGCGAGTGAGCTGGTCGTCCGTGCGCTTCTCGCTCTGGTGCACCTTGGCGGAGGGAAAGAGCCCCGGGCTAGGGATTCCCAGGAAGCGCAACGCTTGCTCCGCCTCCGAGCTCATGTTCTCGTGCCAGATCAGCACACCGTAGCGCACGCTACAAGGCGAGCAGAGCAACGCTATGGGCTTCCAGTGGACGTCCAGGTCGGCGGGCGGCTGCCGCAGAATGAAAGTCACGAACTCGGGGAAGGTGAGGTTGCGCTGGTTCTTCGGGGCCCGGGACCCGCGGACGGCGGTGCGTATTTTGTCTGCCACGTGCATGTAGTAGGGCTCCGAGTGCAGGAGCTTGTCCCGGTAGGCGGAGACGAGGCGCTCCAGCGGGTGGCGAGTGACCAGCACCGGGGTGTAGTGCTTCAACATGAGGTCGCACTCGCGGGGCTGGAAGGAATTGAGCCGCTGCAGGAGGCTCGTCGTGTGCAGCCTGTCCATCGCCACCTCGGCCGGGTCCCAGCGGCTCAGGTTGAGGGCGAGCAGCAGGAGCACCCGCCTCCAGTTGGAGCAGCCCGCCTTAGGCACCTCGCAGAACAGCAGGCGGTGATTGCGCTCCACCAGCAGCTGCCGGGCTACTTGCTTGGGCACGAGTTGACTGTCGGACTTCCAGAGGCCACGCTTCTTGCAGGCGGTGCTCAGCTGCTCCTGGCGGAGCTGCTGCGTGAGCTGCCAGTGGTCGGAGGTGTCTGTGCTGATAGTTTCCCTGTCTGTAAAATGAGGATAATTGTAGCACCTACGCTTCAGGGCTGTGACGATCAAATGAGTTAACTATACGTAAAGCGTTTTGCAAATCTTAAAGGGCTGTATAAACGCTAGCTGTTACTATCACTACTAGGGGGATGCCTGGTTACTCCACAATTTTCTCCTTTTACAGAAGAGGAAACTCAGAAATCAGATAAGGCTCCTGCTTTTAAGGAATTTAAGCAATCTTGCTGGCGAAGCATTGGGGTGTAGCCAGCCATAGTCAGGAAGGTGTGGGTTCAAATTCCTTTTTTGACTCATATAGTCTGGGTGACGATGGACAAGTCACTTAACTAACTTCTCGGTGACCTCAAGCAATTATAATTTAGTCTTTGAAAATAAGTTGATTAGTAGAAGGGGTTTCCTTACAAGGAATTCTATTACCGAACATTTCTAACAACACCACCACCCTCAAAAAATAAAAAAAAAGGAAAAGAAAGAAACGTGGCTATATACCTGATTAGGCCCTTGTTTCCCTCCACCGAACCTTTGCCTGAGTCACTTACCAGTTGTGGGGGTCTCCAGCTGGCGGCAACAGATCCAGAGCAACAGGAGACACAGCCCAAAACCACAGTACAGTTTGTAGGACAGCTGGCCCATCCTGGCTTTCAGGGGCTCTGGGGAGTCTACGGGATGGAATCAGGAGGACTAGAGATGGGGAGTCAGCCCCATGCATTCTGCTTCCCTCCTTACCCCCACAGGGCTACGGGGATTCCAGGGCCTCTCTCCGGGCCCTTCCCTCTCCACTGTCTCCCCGACTTCTTTGCGCCCTAGAGTTTCTGCCAACCAACTCAGGCTGATGTCCAGGGGCTTGTTTCTGTCGGGGGGGGGAGTCGTTTATACAGTTTGGAACTGGAAAGAGCCTTATCTAGTCCAATTTCCCTCATTTTAGATATAAAGAAATTGATACTCAGAGAAGTTATAGACTTACTGGAGGTCGCACAGGGACTAAATGCTGGACCTGGCATTTGAACCAAAATCCTTGTGACTCCAAATCCACCTTGGCACAGATGTCTTTGGTAGGTCCTCTACTGGTCCAGGCTCCAAACACTTCACTCCCTTGCCCTTTTTTTCTGAGGGTTGGAGCTGTCCTCACAACTCTGGGAAGAGGTAAGTGCTGTTGTTATTTGAGTTTTACAGATGAGGAATCTGAGACAGACTTGACCTGGGTCACAAAGTTAACCAGGATCACTTATTAACAGGTTTATTATGCTTATTATTTTTATTAAGGGGGAAAAGGGACTTGAGGGTAGGGTCCTTAGGCAGTAGGGTTTTTTTTGGGGGGGGGGAATGAATTATAAAAGGGACAGCCTTCTCAAACTGTGACTACCACAAGACAATCTGTGAATACACAACACAAGATTCAGGAGCTCTGGAAAATTATCCTCTCTCTCTGTGTCTCTCTGTCTCTCTCTTTCTCTCCCTCCTCCTCCTCTTCCTCCTCTTCTCTCCCTTTTCTCTGTCTCCTCTCCTCCCTTCTCTCTCTCTGCCTCCCTCTCCTCTCCCCTTCATCTTGTTTCCTTTTTTCCTCTTATCTCCTCTCTTTTCCCTCTTCTCTCTCCCCCCTCTCTCCTCTCCACTCCACTCTCCTCCTCTGTCCTCTATCTGTTCTTCTGTCTCTTTGTCTTTCTCTCTATTTGTCTCTTTCTAATAAAACTCTTTTTGAAAAATGTCAATCTTGTCCCCATCGATTTGAAGATAAAAAGGAGCTTTTAGACCATCCTCAGCCTGAAGGAGTAGAGAGAACAGAGCCTCGTAAAGGCAGCAGCTGGAGACGCACCATCCAACGCAAGCCAACCAGCCTTGATTAATGAATCAACAAACATTTATGAATGCAGTCAGGCCCTGCACTATTCCCTGGGAATAAAAATAAAAAGCAAAAAACCCCAAACCATTACTACATGTTAAGTGCTGGAGATATAAGAACCAAAGGAAGAAGAATCCCTGTCCTCAAAGAGCTGACGTTTTACTGGGAAGCTCTTACACATGCGCACTTGCACCCCAGCACCTGCACATAGACCTCTCTGAGTTGCTTCGTCTTGAGAAAAGTAAACACTGAGCATAGGGAACTAAAAGCATCGCTACTATTGGGCTTCTTCTACCTGGGAGAATTAAGTTCCTCCTTCCACTCTGCTTCTAGCTCAGGACTTCACCCTACTCTTGGTCAGCTCGACAGCTGGCTCCTCCAGGTTGCTGGGATTGTCTTCAGGACAGCACTGCAATTGTGGCTAGGTTAAATCTAATCGCTGAACTCCTCCTGCCTTCTGGGTTTCAGCCTAAGGGCTTAATTAACTTCCCTTCCCATAAATGCCTTCCTTACCTTGCTCCCCAGTGGTGGCTCCTTCTACGCAATGCAAGAAGGAGGTCAAAATAGCCTTGGGTCTAGGCAGAATCATGGGGGTGGGGTGGAGGCTGTGATCCAGGACAAATACGCGGAAGGGGTGGGAGGAGCATTTCGTGAGGCATCCAGAGGTTTTGGCTTCTGCACAAAGGCCTTCAGCCCCGAGAGTAGGTGAGGAAGGAGAGGATGGGGAGTTTGAGGGTGGAGTGACTCAAGAGAGGGCAAAGGAGTGAGGTGTCAGACCAGAGGAGGATGAAGTTTGTGAATCAAGATGCCTTCTCTCCCAGTCAGCTGCAACAGGCAGTTTAAGACTTTGTACTCTGACTCCTTTCCTATCCCTCTCCCCCAAAATGTTTTTGCCCCAGATGGGAAAAAAAAAAAAAAAGCCAAGTCACAGCTCTAGGTTCAGGTATCCCAAGGAAAGAGTTTCTGGAGCATTCTCGAGTCTCATCTGGAATGTGATGTTGGAGTAGCCGCAGAAAGCTCGCAAGGGAGAAGCTGAAGAAGCTCTTGGATGAGGCTGAGTGGAAAACGAACCTGCCCTGGGATTGTGGAGAAAGGTCTGGGAGGGGTCCTGAGATCCACATAGTGCATTGATCCCCTCTGACCTGGGACCTCCGGACAGACCTAAGCTGATTCTTCTGCCCAGCCTTGGCAGCGGGCTGAGCGCTGCCTTTCCCGGCTAGAGGTTCAACCCTTCTGCTTCTGCTCCCCATCAAGCTGGCTCTTCTGCCAGGACCAGGCAGAGTCACTGCTCTGTTCTCTCAGATTTGGGGAAGGGGGTGTGTGCAAATCTAAGTTATGTGGATGTGAAGGGAAACTTCTTTGATTTGTTTCTTGTCTCCCAGAGCTCCCTGCCCACCCCACCCCCATAACTGCTCTGGCTGCTCCTTAGAGATTATCTAGCCTATTTCTTTTATAGAAGTGGAGAAAAGGGGTAGCCTGAGGTAGTGGAGTAGGAAGACCTGCTTTCAGTTCCCTCCTCAGTTACTGAGTCCCTCTGTGACTTTGGACAAGTCACTCAGTTTCCCTGGGCCTCCATTTCCCTCTCTGTAAAAATGAGGGGGGTGGGTTTGGAACAGATAACCTGTAAGGTCTATTCTAGCTCCAAATCTATGATCTTGTAGCCTAACACTTTTCTTTTATATTTTTTTCCATTTTTTTTTTTTTTTAGGCAATTGTGGTTAAGTGACTTGCCCAGGGTCACACAGCTAGTAAGTGTCAAATGTTTGGTCTCAGGCTGGATTTGAACTCAGGTCCTCCTGACTTCAGGGCTGGTCCTCTATCCATTGTGCCATGTAGCTGCCCCTACATTTTTCTTTTATAGATGAGAAAATGGAAGCCCAGAGCGGTTGTGACTCTGCTCAAGTCACACAATTAAGTGGCAGAAATGGAATACAACCCAGATGGGTCATTGGAACCCAACTCCAGTACTTTCCACTACACCACACCACACTTGCCTGTTCAGCCCAGACCCCACTTCCTTCCTAGCAGCCCCTGCCTGTGGCCTTTGCCAGGTCAATGGGACGAAGTGTGATGTGGGAGTAAACAAAATGAAAGCCCACACCTGAGTGCTAGGCATAGCTGTGACTATACTCTGTAACTTTGAGCAAGCCACTTCCATCTCTGGAACTCAATGTTTATCTAAGGAAAAAACAAACTGACAAGATGGTCTCTGAGCTCCCTTCCATCGATCAGCCTGTTCTGAGATGTTCAGCCCAACATTTCTTCTTCCTACCCCCCAACCACTTTTGGGTTCCTTCAGGTCCTCAGAGTCTGTGTTAGACTGTTCACCCAGAGGACTTTCCTCACTCTTGCTACCTTTTATCTTGGAATCCTAATCTTCATGGTAGAAACAGGAATTTTTTTTTTTTTGGTTAGGCAATTGGGGTTAAGTGACTTGCCCAGGGTCACACAGCTAGTAAGTGTGAAGTATTTGGTCTGAGGTCACATTTGAACTCAGGTCCTCCTGACTTCAGGGCCGGTGTACTGCACCACCTAGCTGCCCCCAGAAACAGGTATTCTTGCCAGACATTTTTTATTTTTGACTTTGATTTTACTATTTCTCCTTTCTTCTTTTCCCACTTACACATTCCCTGGGATCTTAAAACTTTGGTCCCTTGGATTTGACTGCTGGGTTACCTTCCCAGGTGTGGGCTGGCAATATAAGCTGTCTATTTTGTCTATCTAGAGGGTTTGGTCCAGAACCAAAGTCTCGCCTTCTTGTCTGGGCTGCAGGAATGTATGCTGTTTATACCTGACCTCCTAACCTTGGGGCCCTGGCTGGCTCCCTCATGGACCTGAGGACTTTTCCTCCTCTCCCATCTTCATCCCCCCCACCCCATCTTCAAATCAGTCAGATCCGGTCCAACCTGACCTTCGGAGTTTCCAGATCCCCTGCTGAAAACAATACTTGGGAAAAGCACCCTGCAGCTTCTGGCTCTGCCAACTTCTTCTCCCCCACTAATGGGGGCAGTACCTATTTCTGGGCCAAGCCCTTCGAGCAGAGGGAGGAAAAGAGGGATGGGCTTCAACCTCCTTATCCCATTTGGGCTAAAGAAGTAAAAACCAACTGAGAAGAGGGTAGGAATGAGCTAGTGCAAGGCCCGGTATATTCGTAAGCCTATTTGGGCTGTTGTGGGTGTACGTAATTGGGGGAGAGAGGGAGTCCTCCAAAGAGGAAAATAAGGGTTGAGGAACTTGGGAAATCGTCTCAGCTCTTTTTGGAGCAAGGTGGTAAAGAACAGGTCTCATAGCTTCCCAAGCTAGTATGTGTCAGGCTGGATTAAGGATTCCCTCCCCTAGGACAGGATGCTCTCTGGGAACTTTTTCTCACAAAACCTGACACCAAGAAATGCAATCTATTAAATTCAAGTGTATTTGAGGCCACAGAAACAATACGAGGCAAGGTCCCACCTGCCACTCACTGACTGTGACTTTAACAATCTCCTCTCATCAGGGCTGATGTCCAAATGTCCCTATTTCCTCAACTTCCTAGATAAATTCAGCCTGATTTCTGTAAAATTGTCTCAAGACTATCACCTTACAATAGGCTTGGGTCTTAGAACTAATGTATAGTCCTTCCCTCTAAGGGCTTTGGAACAAGTTAATACCTTCTTTGAATCTAATGTATCACTTGTAATCCTATAGCCTATGGGGGATGACTCTGGTACCCAACTGGGCTTTCTTGGTGCTTAGCTCAGCTGAAGGCTGTAAAGACTGTCCTCTTTTAATTAAATGTAGGCTCTGCAAACCAGTGTGCTGGTAGGACTGGAGGGAGGAATGGAGTCATCTTACAGTATAGGAGGAAGGCAGCAAATTTTAGCTTAATTGACAGCCATCTCTCATAAGGCTTAGACTTTCTGCAGTGTGTGAGAGGGTCAGGGGGCATCACTTGCATTAAATACAGGTGGTGAAGAAAGCGGCAATATTATGCTCTCTCCCACTATATTGAGAAGAGCATTTGCAGAATATCTAAGGTAGGATATTTACTATTTTCCAAGCCAACTAGTTGCCTTACTGTTTTGAGGGTAATGAAAGGCTGAGGGGAGTGGATCTTAGGAAGCCAGGTTGCTTAAGGGTTGAAAAATGGGAAAGCTTCTGGGTCCCTCATCTTTGGCCTAAGAGCAAAAGGAAGGGAAGCAATAGGAGAAAAAGGAGATGAATTCTTAGGCCTTTAGGACACAGCTGTGACAGACTGTGCCACTTGGGATGTAATCATCAGATTAAATGTGATCCCCTTGTTAAAACAGGGCATAAAGTTTATTTACAGATATCTGTACAGTTTGAGTGACAAGTCAGGACTCCACACAAACAAAAGCAAATAAAATCATCCCTTCTGAAGGGAAACGAGGCTTTACCCCACACCTGTCAGAAGAGGAAAAGCAAGACCGACAGACATTCAGATCTGTACATCATGAGCTCAGCATATGGACAGAAGGGAAGGTGTTACCTTTCCTGGAAGAAACAGAAAATTTGTGTAAACCAGCCCCTCAGCCAATGTCCCCATCATCACCACGGAAGCACCACAGCGCAAGCTGAGCGGACTCTGTTGTTTCTCACTCTGGGCATGAAACCACTGTGCACAGCCCCAGAGACCACAGCTTTGTGACAATGCCAGTTTTTTGGAACCAAGTGATACACCTGCTTCGAACGAGCCTGGAGAAGAGTTAGCAGTCTTGGGGAGGGAGGCCAAACCACAGGTGGGCTGTTCAGGTGATGAGTGAAGTTCACCCTTGGGTCTTCTTTGGTTGTTTGTTTTTTTTTTCTAACTATATTGCAGTCAGTCCAAATGGGAGCCCTTCTGTGATTCAGTGTCTCAGGCGGAAGGTTTCATCTGTAGTATGTGGGGAGGTGGTGGCAAACCAGCTACACTGTGATGCAAATAGCAATTATTTTTTAATACAAATTTTATTACACAGCTGTAACATCATCGGCGCGCTTCTCCAAATCCAAATGTTGCTAAATACAGATCTACATGGTGGATCAAAATGACTCCAGCAATTCTGGTTGATTCTGTAAATTCACTTCTTTTAAAAACAAAAACAAAAACAAAAAAGTCCAAGTACATAGTTAGGTGAGAGGCCCCAGTGGCCTCAGTGACTCAGGCACAGAGTCCAGAAAATGTTTAACAGTCTGTGATTCCATATTTACACAATAGTCCACAAAGGGTGGGTCTTAGTTAATGGACTATTCAAGTAAATAAGTTTTTTTAAAAAAATTTTTAATAAGCCCATCAATTTTCCTTCACACAACAGAGCAGAGCTGCGGCTGCTGCAGCCCTGTTTTACGGTCCATTTGCCGATTTTACACAATCGCAATGGACTCTTTTTTTTTTTAAATTATCTTCTGCTTTTTTTTTTTTAAAGGAAAAATGTAAACTAAGTTAAAACAACACTGAGGATCTGATAAACTCAGGAAAGCTATCCATTCCATTTCTAAGATTAAATACAACTTAACCCTGATCTTTTCTTCTTCCCCCTCTCCCCAACTCCCTGTTGTCAATCAGGGATTCTTTAGAGAGGTGCAAAGAGAACATCCAGTTCCCCTTCCCTCCAAAGAAATCATCA